GGCGGGCCGCCTCCCTGCAGTTCTCGGGGGCTTGCCTTCTTGCTAAAGAGCCCAGCTCCGGGAAAGGATAGAAAATCCTTAAAAATGGGAGCGCCCCCCTTCCCCGCCCCAGTTCGGCTGCTTCCCCGCCCCAGTTCGGCTGCCCGCAGCCTGCGAGGAATTGCGACGCAGAAAGTCAAAAGGAGGCCCTTTTCCTTCCTCCTCCCTTGTCCCCATTTAAATTTTGGGCTTCAGCGACCTCCTTGCCGTGAGGGGCGAGGATGTTTCCTCGCGAAATGGGAGCCGGCGAGGCCTCGGCATTTCGGGGAACCTCGGCGGCCGCAAGGAGTTGGCGCTGAGGACGTGGGGCACCGCGTCCGCGGTGACAGCGCCGGTGGGGCCGCGGCGACCGGCACCACCCACCTCGCAGTGGCCGAGTCGGGCTCGCCTGGCCCCGGTCCGCCTCTTGGGCGGAGCCGGGCTGGAGGGTGTGTGTGGACACGTGTGCGCGCTTGTGTGTATGTGTGTGCGGACACGTAAGTGCGTGGACCGGTACTGGGGTGTTGGCAGTCGGGACGGTTGGGGGCCAGTGGGACTTTGAGTCATTCGGAGTGGGCCAAACAGGACAACTAGGTGGAGAATAGCATGAGTAACCTGAAACAAATGAACCTCTTAGAGACAGTACCAGGCTGCAACTGTGCATTGATGCTGTGTATGCAGTGGGGGCTCTGGAGAATAAGTATTCGAACTTTGCTGGTGCTGTCTCTGTTTCTGGCTGTTTTTTGATTACATTTTAGATTTTAAATCAGTCCCATTAGAAAGTATCTTAAATTCTTAACTAAGCTTTCCAGGATTTTGCTTGCATTCCTCACACATGGAATGCGTTGGGAAAGAATATTCAAGCACTCTTCCGTGTGTGTGTGTGTGTGTGTGTGTGTGTGTGTGTGTGTGTGTGCCTTCTGGCTCCACAAATAGGAAACTATTTCTAGAACCTTCATTTGATGACTTGATAACATCAAGTGAGCTGATTTTTAACTCTAGACTGGGAAGAAAGAAAAATAAAATCAGAATTAACAGATAACTTTAAGTGCAATGATAAGAGACAGGGTATCATGTTTTAATAGATTACTGTGAAGTGTTCTCGTTTTTTTTTTTTTTTGTATTTTCCTTTACTGTGGAGGAGGAGGGAGTGACATTATGAATCAGAAAAACAAAGTAGATAAATTACATATTTCTTGATCAAAACACATGAATTACAATTTCCACAGCATTGACCCCTATCCAGGCTGGAAACCTTCTGTAGAAGGTATAATGCAGAAATCAATGTTAGAAACCTCTTTGGCAAAACTCCATTGGCTAAGACGGTCTACTAGCATCCAATTGTATTTGTTTTAGTGGGTAGTTGGGTTTTCTTTTTGAAAAATAAGCAGGGATTCTAAAATGTTCCACATGCTGTGGTTAAAGCTTTTGGTTATAGCATTTCATTCTGAAGAACACATTTAAGTTGCTTAAGATTTGGTTAGCCAATTAGAAACATTTCTAAACATAATGAGAGTAGCACCCCTAGTGGTGATACAAGATAGTTTTGCCCTCAGTTTCCAAATTAAAAGTAATCTGCAAACTGAATGGGATTTTCTATGTAAGAAGGTAGAAATAAAGTTATGACACCTGTATGGGAAAACCATGCAGGACTTTTTCTTTTGAGAGACTTGAGGTGCCTCTTAGTCTCTTCTTTTTTGAATGATAGAGGGTATGGTAATGAGGAGGAATGAAAGGGGAAAAGTATTCATTTTCCCTCTACGGGGGGGCAAAGTAGTTATAATGTATGTGTTATACAGAAAAAGAAAACAGACGAAATTGAATTATTTTCTAGAAATTAACCTTCATAACCTAACCTAAATGGGTTAGGCTAATTAATAATGCTATTTTTACTACTCCCTATCAAATGGCAGGAATTTTATAAGGTGGTTTCTGTGGCTCAAGTTCACATTTATGTGATGTGAACTAATATCTTCAAGGTTGGTTTGAGGTTATCTGAGCCAAATTACTGTCTTGAGACACAGTATTTGGGGAATATTCAAACTGAAATCATTGAAGATAGATTATTTTCAGAAGTTTACTCCTGCTTTTGTTGAGTTCTGTACAAATGTTAATTATTATTTCTTTAACTTGCAGCTCCCCAAGGTGAGGTGGAACAGTTCGATTTCTAGTTCCAATGCCAAGCGTGTGATCTGAGGTGAGTTAATTTAATTTCTTTGAACCTCAGTTTTTCTTATCTTACAAGAGATAGTATCAAACTCAGAACTGATAAAAAGGATTAAACAAGATAATGAACGCAAAGGACTCAGGCAGATATAGCTGCCTAGAGAATAACCTTAAAAAATCTTAATGCCTTTCTTCTTCTGTGAGACAGTGCAAACAACAAGGTAAACCCAGGAGCTGGGAGACCTGGTTTCTGGTCTCTTCTTTAACCACTTACCTCTAGAAAACCAGTTACTTGGCCCATGAAGGCATCAGCTGCCATTAAAATGAGGTTAGGAATGTAAATCTCTTGCCTAGAGATTGGACCTAATGGACTGTTAAGGCCTCTTTAATAAGCTGATCTTTTTGATGATGTAACTTCGCTCCCTTTAACTTTTACTCCATTTAGAATTAATACCTGTTGGTGGCAGGGACACATGTTTCTGTGTTAGTGAACTAGTTTTATTGTGTCACAGTTAACCTAGAGGAAGGTCTGATTAACTCTGTTGAGATTGGGTCATCTAGGTCCTAGTTGTCAATAAAAACATCAACAGTGATTTAGTTAATATGAGCTTTCTGTTATGTACAACTTTCTCTTTAAAGTTTTATTTTCAAAATTAGAGACAGGGTATGGCTTGACCTCCTTTTATTTTAGAGTATAGTACCACGTTTAAGAGTATGGATTTTGAAGTCTAGTAGAAGAGATTTGAATTCTGCTTTTGATTTAGTAAGTTTCCATTTTGACTACTTATTTTATTTATTTATTTTTAAAATAGTTTTAGTTCTAGATGGACATAATACCTTTATTTATTTTTATGTGGTCCTGAGGATCGAACCCAGTGCATCACATATGCTAGGCAAACACTCTGCCATTGAACCACAACCCCAGCCTTGGCTACTTATTTACATGTTTTTGAGTAAGTGACTTAATCTTGCTGATCCTGGGTGTTCCAAAGTGGTTATGTGAATTTTTACTCTTACCAGCAGTGTGTAAGAATTCTGGCTGTTTTCTGTGTTTTGATTTGACAATGGGCAGAATAAACAATCTATATAAAATTTTTAGCACAGATCCAGGCACATAGTAGTATTGCTGTCATGGTATATGTTATTTTTCTTTATTCAGAAATTATTTATTAATCCCTTACTGTGTGCTAGACACTAGTCTAACCTCTAGGGATAGAGAAAGGAACAAAAGAGGCTCAGTTCTTCCTTTTGGAGCTTTCACGGATAGCTAGAATTCCATCTCAATTTTAGCATGCTGGTGATTTTTTTTTCTTTCTTTTTTTAGCTAAGGATCACACCTCGGGCCTTCTTGAGTGCTAGGCAAGCATTTTGCTACTGAGCTACACTACCAGCCCATGCTGGTGATATTGGTCCACACCATTTAATGATAATTTCAGTTGTAAAAGGCATTCTATTTTTAGATCTGCTAAAATGTGGTGAGGGGTCAGTGCATTTCAGATGGAGGAAATACATTATTATTTTTTGTTACTGCATAGAGAGATTGTGGGAATTTGATTTTCTCAGATTGGCATTCAGTTCACTAGGTACTTGTCAAGCTTCTACTGTCCTCCTGCAGTCTGAGAACAGGAGATATAGAGGTGAATAAACCCCACCCCACAAGCTTCCCATCTGCAAGGAGAGGGTATTGATGGAGAAAATGCAAGAAGTAGTGTTACTGTTTCAACAATACTTTTCATTTTTTTATTTTGAAGTATTTGTAATCATAAAATAATATATATGAAATATGCCTTAAGGAAAAAAAAAAAGACAGAAACAGAATATCAGCCTTGCTTTTGGAGCTCCTCTTTTTGTGCTCCTTCCAGATTGTTCCCTCCATCCCTGCTGCCTCCATGATCATTGCTTTGTATTTTGTATTTATTTTTTTTCCATAGTTTTGGCATCATTAATGTATTTTTTGCCAAATAATGTTTGTTATACTTATATTTAAGCTTTGTAAAATACTCTGAATTCAGTGACTGTTTTTAAAATTTAAAAATATTGATGCTTATAAATGGAGGGAATTTAATTTTTACTCATGTACAGTATTTTTTCTCTATATATACTGCAGTTTGTTTTTTTTTATTGATGGTGATTTGGGTCTTTTAAATTTTTTCTATTTTAAATATGTTGAAATCAACATTCTCATATACATATATCTTGGTGCATATGTTCATGAGTTTTTCATTGCATGATATGGTAAGATAGCCACTTTCCATATGTGGGCACTTAACTTTAGAATTAAAAATAATTAAAATTAAATATTATTAAAATTTTAGTTCTTCAGTTGTATTAGCCACATTTCAAGTGCTCAGTAACCACATCTGGCTACTGACAACCATAGAGGACTATACACACACACACACACACACACACACACACATACACACACACATATATATGCATACATACACACACACACACACACACAAATAAATAAATAAATAAATTACCAGTTTTACTCATCTTTGGAGCTCCACCTCTCAGGAAGTACAGGAGCACCATAAGTTC